AGAATCTCCTTTCTTGTCGTTTGAAGCCATTGCTCCACATCCTAGTCTCCAGGGCAGCAGAAAACAAGCTTGCTCCCTCCTCCCTATGACTTACACTTACATATTTATACATTGTCATCATGTCTCCTCTCAGCCTTCTCTTCTACAGGCTAAACACGCCCAGCTCTTTAAGCTGCTCCTCATAGGGCTTGTTCTCCAGACCCTTGTCATTTTAGTCCCCCTCCTCAGGACACATTCCAGCTTGTCAACATCTCCCAAACTGCGGTGTCCAGAATTGGACACAGTGTGATTCCAGTTGTGGTCTGACCAAGCTAGAATAAAGGGGTAGGTAGCATGACTTCCCTGGATCGAGACACTAGACTCCTACTGATGCAGGCCAAAATCCCATTGGCTTTTTTTAGCTGCCACATCACATTGTTACTCATGTTTAACTTATTGTCCATGAGGACACACGAGTAGGTGTGTCCGGTATTTCCCTATTTACAGGATAACCTCTTTACTATATTCGTTTCACGCCCCATCCCCCCTTTTAATGTTTAGATTTTGAAAAACTCTTCTAGAGTCATAACAATAAACCAATAGACTTGTGCTAAGAAAGCCCAACCTCATCACCATGCAAAGTTAATTTCAACCTGAGTTGAAATGGTAAGATTGGGAAGGAGGGGATGCTTCCATGTTGATAATAGTTCTAGCTGTTGTATTTGCCCAGAGCATATAGTTGAAAATTCAGTTGGGTTTACTTTTTACAATAACTTACTTAAACTATTTTCCCATGAATTAAATGGAAGAAACTCAATGGCAAAAATTTATTGTGGGAAGAAGGCAAACTATGTTTCACCTTTCCTGCCATAAATTTCATTTTAACATAACCAGTTAGTATTTCACAATAGTGCTTTCAGAAGCTCTCAGGGTTGTTTCCAACTTTATTTTGCCTGCCCAGTCCTGAGAAATGAGTACGGAACAATTGGAGAGGAGAGGGTTCTAGATGCACACATATTTATAATGTCTGAAAGGTCTGGGTAGGTCTGAAATAACACATATTCTCAAATTTCTACTAACAGGATGTGTGTGTTTAAATTTTTCCATCAGCTTGAACAAAACAGCTACCAACTATAACACTAGCTTGAAAAGTCTTCAATGGATGGTAAATGCCAGGGTTCTGAATGAACATATTTCATAACATGTTCTCATCTGTTACGACTAGAAGTAAGCTCCTGAAATTGTCAGCAGTGAGTCAGTAAATCTTCTCCCAACTTAGTAACGTTCAAGCAACAGGGTTTAGCAATGGAGAGGGATAACTGTACAGATTCAGAATGAGTCAGTTTATTGTAATGGTTGGTGACAAACCGACCAGGCTTCGAATCTTCTCTCAGTCATAAAACCTCAGTGGGTGGCCTTAGGTGAGTTACAGTCTTTCATCCTAAGAGGATGGCAATGGTAAACTGAATAAATCTTGCCAGGAAAACCATTCAATGAGGTTACCATAAAGTCAGTCAGAAGGCACAAAACTTCAGACCTGTATGAAAAGGTTCCCTTGTTTGCTACTGGTGGAAGCAGTTCACTAAGGTTTCTTTTATCTCGGGACTCCAATTGATTTAAGTCTATTTAAGCAGATATGGATTCCAGTCCTCAATAGCATCCACACATGAGTGCATCATCACTACAAAGATCGGGCTATTGGTCATGAATATTACTGAGCCTGCTTTGAAGGAAAATAAGCATAAGTCCCAAAATACTCTTGTCTAAACTTTTCAAAATTGGTACAAAAGCAAGGAACACAAACCTCAATTTGTCTCTCCCCTTCCAATATTCTTAACTGCACTCCAAAATCTCTAAGGGAGATTTGGCACTCAGATCCAATAATATCATGTGAAATGGAACATTGGTTTAATAACGCAAGACTTGTATTTGCTATACTCAGGAGATGCATCTTAACCTACCCACTCCCAAAGAAGAAGTTGTTAACAAGCCATCCCAGTGGCCAGAAATAACAATAGGATAGATTTTATGTTAGTTGTAATTCTAGCCCTTTGTTAGGGTTAATTGATAGTCTATGGTTATAGTGAATACCCAAAACAGTAATGAAGAAGATGTCCACAGGCTCAGAGAAACTCCAAGGGAGGATCCAAGGGGGAGCAGAACTCTCAAGAAACTTCCAGGATGCTTCTCTGTGCTCACTAGCCACAAAAGGGCCATGGCTTTAGAATGGGAATGCAATGGAGTACTTCCTTGGAACAGATGTGACAAGATAGCACTCATGAAACCAAAGAAACACTCAACAGCTCCACTTGGCATGCCATGAATCTACATATTACATGCTAGTGAACAACGTTTTCAGTTCTTTCCTTCAAGAGCCAGAATGGGGAGGTGGTTAAGTGCTGGACTTCAGACTCCAGGAGATCAAGGATGGAACACTTCTCTCAGCCATGGAAATCTACAAATTGTCTTGAGCCAAGTCACACTCTCCTAGACTTGGAGGAATGAAATGGCAAGCCTCCCCTGAATAATACCTGCCAAGGAAATCCCACAATCTGTTTGTTTGATTACCAAATCAAGCATAACTCAAAAGCATATACAACAAGGGGATTCTTCATCACGCTACAATGGAAGTCAACCACTTGGAAAAACTAAGGTACCTGTTGGGCATGTTTTTGTCCCTCTCTTATTAAGTCCAAAACCATCTGAATGCAAGGTCTCATTACCTCTGCAACACATTATTTGGTCCAAATAAAAATGTAAGGTGGGCCTTCAGTATCTGTGGAGGTTTAGTTCCTAGGCACCTCTCCCCTGCCCCATGGATACCACAAAAATCATTGACACTTAAGTCCCATTATATACAATAGCAGAGTAAAAGAGTGCTATTAATATAAAATGTCAATATCAAATTTTGCTTTCAGGATCTCCTCTCTCTCTCTCTCTCTCTCTATATATATATATATATATATAGTAAAGGTTTCCCTAAAGGGATTATATATATGTGTGTGTGTGTGTAGTGTGTGTGTGTGTATACACATATATACATATATATGGGGGTGGTGCTCATCTCCATTTCTAAGCCAAAGAGCCAGCGTTTTCCATAGACACCCCCAAGGTCATGTGGTCAGCATGTCTGCATGGAGCGCCGTTACCTTCCCCCCACAGCAGTAGCTACTGATCTGCTTGCATTTGCATGTTTTCAAACTGCTAGGTTGACAGAAGTTGGGCCTAAAAGTGAGAGCTCACTCCACTCTCCGGATTAGAACTGCCAACCTTTTGGTCAGCAAGTTCAGTAGCTCAGTGCTTTAACCTGCTGCGACACTGGGGGCTCATATATATCTATATCTATATCTATATGCACAAGTCATGGATGATTGAATCCTTGGATACAAAGAACTGACTGTACTATACAGTTAGCCCTCCATATTTGCGGTTTTGAATTTTGCAGATTTGTTTATTAGTGGATTTAACTAATTTTGCTACTGTTATGAATTGTAATGTAAATATCTGATCTGCAGGATGCATTTTCATTCACTGGACCAAATTTGGCACAAATACTCAATATGCCCAAATTTGAATATTAGTGGGGTTGGGGGGTTGATTTTGTCATGTGGGAGTTGTAGTTGCTGGGATTTATAGTTCACCTACAATCAAAGAGCATTCTGAACTCCACCAATGATGGAATTGAACCAAACTTGGCACACAAAACTCCCCTGACCAACAGAAATACTGGAAGGTTTTGGTGGGCATTGACCTTGAGTTTTGGAGTAGTAGTTAATCTACATCGAGAGAGCACTGTGGACCCAAAGAATGATAGATCTAGACCAAAGTTGGCACGAATACTCAATATGCCTAAATGTGAACACTGGTGTAGTTTGGAGAAAAAAGACCTTGGCATTTGGGAATTGCAGTTGCTGGGATTTATAGTTCGCCTACAATCAAGGAGGATTCTGAACCGCACCAATGATAGTATTGGGCCAAAGTTCCCACACAGAACTCCCATGACCAATAGACAATACTGTGTTTTCTGATGGTCTTTGGTGACCCCTCTGACATCCCCTCGTGACCCCCAGGTTGAGAAACACTGACTTAAGGCATTGAATAATTTGCCTCTATGTAAGCCTTTACTGAAGGCACGGAATAATTGCCTCTATGTAAGCCGCTTTGAGTCCCCTTTGGGGTAGAGAAAGGTGGGGTATAAATAGAGTAAATAAACGGAAGGAGTGTCAAACTGCATTCATGCCACAGTGTGGAATGATGGAATGGATGCACCCTAAGAACTTGACCAACTTTCCCTGCCTATTTCAGAGCAGATGAAACTCGGACGTCTCAGCGGCGCCCTCTGTCTGCCGCGGGCGGGAACTGCACCCAGGTATTCCTCGCTCTGTGTTCTTCCAAATCACAGGGAGGCAAATCGCCTTTGGTAATTGAGCCTGCGACGGAGTCTCACCTTCAGCTTCATCGAAAAGCTTATCTGGGCCGCCCAGGGGACATTTCCGGCTCTTTCCGAGAAGCACACCACGGAGTGACAGCGCCATCCAAGAAGTAAAAATAAAGCCAATCGCCTGGGGAGGGGAGGGAGAGCCCTGCAGGCATGCATTTCTAGAGTGGGCACAACCCGATGCAATGCAGGAGAGACTAGTAAATAAATAGACATGCGTAGAGAGAATAGTCTGAATTAAAGGAGGAGAGGAAGAAGAGGAGGAGGAGGAGGAGGAGGAAGGGAGGCTGGGCTGCATGGCCGGTGTGGATACCAATCCTAAGACTCTTATTAATACTAATAACTTGGCAATCAGGGCAAGCAATGCTGATCCTGCTCTCTATTCTGCGGCAGACAAGGGAGGGCTGGTAGAGGAATCTGAGTCCTTCCACGCTTCCCTCCAGCCCTTTTCCTAAGGGGAGAAAAGTAACTTCTGCAAAATGAGGTGGACCAAGGGCTTCCCGGAGGAGCCCTTCCCACCCCACGTCCCATCCCCGGAGAGGGCATCAAAGCGGCGAAGCAGGGGAGCCCTGGAAAGACTTACCCGAGCGGGGCTCTAGCTCCCTCTTGGCTTTCCCCAGCAGCGGGGCGCAGGGCTTGGGGAAGGCCGTCCCATGATAGGCAGAACAGTCCGAAGCTGACCTCCACGCGGGACGTGGGCGGGGGGGACGGACACAAGAGGGAGGGAAGGAGGCGCTGGCGTGGCTTCTCCCCTTCGCTCCTCTTCCCTTCGGCGTGGGCTCGGCCACTGGGTCTGTCCCTGAGCCAGGCAGCAGCGGCTGCTTGAGGAGCCCGGGCGAGCGGGCGGGCGAGCGGGCAGGGCTGCGCTCTCTTAAAGGGACACCGGCCCCAGCCCCGCCCGCCCACAGGCACCCCGCTCTGGGCGCATCTGCACCGCAGAATGGACGCGGCTCGCCCCACAACCCTCGAACGGCCGCGGCTACAAAGCTACAACTCTCAGCATTCTGGAAACAGGGAGCCCTGGCAATTCAAGGGGCATTGAGCCCCCGGTGACTCAGTGGGTTAAACCCCTTTGCTGGCAGGACTGAACACCAACAGGTCGCAGGTTCGAATGTTGGGAGAGCGGGGATGAGCTCCGCTATCAGCTCCAGCTCCTCATGCAGAGACATGAGAGAAGCCTCCCACAAGGATGGTAACACAGCAAAACATCCGGGCGTCCTCTGAGCAACGTCCCTGTAGACGGCCAATTCTCTCACACCAGAGGCGACTTGCAGTTTCTCAAAGTCGCTCCTGGCACGACCAAAGAAATAATAATAATTCAAAGGGCTGTCAAACTGCATTCGTTCCACAGGAAGGAAGTACCCATTGCATTATGTGACACAGACATGGGCAAACTTCGGCCTTCCAGGTCTTTTGGACTTCAACTCCCACAATTCCAAACGGCTGATAATTCCTAACAGCAGATTTGAATATTAGTGGATTTAATTACAGGTGTTTTCTATAAGAATCTTTAGGTCCTCCAGTGTTACTCTATGGTCAACTTCCTATACTGGGCTGTATAGAGCAGGAATTGGCAAACTTGGGCTGTCTGGGCATTTTGGACTTCAACTCCCATAATTCCTAACAGCTGATAATTCCTAACAGCAAATTTGATTATTAGTGGATTTAATTACAGGCGTTTTCTCTAGGAATCTTTAGGTCCTCCAGGGTTAGTCTATAGCAATGGTTCTCAACCTGGGGTCCACAAATGTTTTGGCCTACAAATCCCAGAAATCCCAGCCAATTTAACAGCTGTTAGGATTCCTGGGAGTTGAAGGCCAAAAACATCTGGTGACCCCAGGTTGAAAACCACTGGTCTATAGTCAACTTCCTATAGTGGACTGTATAGCGCAGGAATGGGCAAACTTGGGTCGTCCAGGTGTTTTGGACTTCAACTCCCATAATTCCTAACCGTTGATAATTCCCAACAGCAGATTTGATTATTAGTGAATTTAATTACAGGTGTTTTCTCTAGGAATCTTTAGGTCCTCCAGTGTTAGTCTATGGTCAACTTTGTACAATGGACTGTATAGAGTAGGAATTGGCAAACTTGGGTCATCTGGCTGTTTTGGACTTCAAAACTCCCACAATTCTTAACAGCCTCAGACCCTTTGTTTCCCCCTCAGCCGCTTAAGTGAGGAAGGGGCCTGAGGCTGTTAGGAATGGTGGGAATTAAAGTCCAAAACAGGCCTCATGTAACACGATTTTCATTCATGGGTTCTTAACGTCATTTCCTATTTGGGTGTATCATGAATAATTGGAAATCACAACCTTCTTCAAGCCTTCTCTAGTAATGTGTCTCTAGGATCCTGTTGCTTATTGTTTGTAGTATTTCTGGTATACAGCTTCCTTTGCTCTATGGTTTCTGAGAAGTTATAGAAGGGGCTGCAGACCACATGCTCTTTCTGCTCTCTCTCTCTCTCTCTCTTGATTATGTGACCTGTCGATAGCTGTTTTCTATAAGAGAGATACTCTGGCCAGATGGCATAGAGAATTATCTCAAATATATTTGAAACTAGACTGATAAGTTTTGTACCTGTGCATTCCACGGTGGGGGCCGTGGTTGCCGCAATGGTGCAATGGGTTAAACCGTTGTGCTGCTGAACTGATGACCTGAAGGTGTGCTCCTGCTGTTGGCCCTAGCTTCTGCCAGCCCAGTAGTTCGAAAAGATGCAAATGTGGGTAGATCAAGAGGTACTGCCTCAGAGAGAAAAGGCAAAAATTGATTGCTCCGTGCAGTAACACTGACCATATGCCCAGAAGGTGTCTACGGATAATGCAGGCTCCTTAGTTTGGAAATGGAGAGAAGCACCGCCTCCAGAAGCTGGAAATGAAAGAAGTCTTTGCCTTTGTCTGTGTATTTGTTTCATTGTATGTCATTGTAACAAGGCACTTAATGTTTGCCTGTGTCTGTTTATATGCTGTAATCAGCTCTGAGTCCCCTCAGGGAAAAGGATGAAATAGAAATAAGGTGTTACGATGATGATAATGATATTATTATTATTATTATTATTATTATTATGCTGAACACATGAAGGTTGTGAGTAAACCATTTTTTTATCGAAGTGTATTTCATTTTTGTCTCTTGAGTGTATGATATAAAGCAAGTTGTCTTATGTGGGAGTATATATTTTGGGGCATTGAAAAACACTTCTAAAGCTCTGCTGATTTATGCACTGGCAAATCTCTGTTTTCAGACCTTACAACCTCTGAAGATACCTGCCATAGATGCAGGTGAAACGTCAGGAGAAAATGCTTCTGGAACATGGCAATACAGCCCGGAAAACACACAATAACCCAGATCAGAGATAACAGATTATTCAGCCTAACACCTAAACCATTGCCCTGCAAAATTATATCTGGTTACATGCCACAAGAGAAGATTCTACTCTAAAGGGTTTTTGACTCTTTTCTGAAAGGTCATGCTTTTCTTAAAAGTTTTGATCTCCAGAAGGAGTTTTACCAAAAGGTTATAAATGCCATTTTTCAAAATAAAAACATGGAAAAGGTTTATTAAACTTCAAAAACTGTGTTTTTGTGGGACATTTTGCTATAGTCTTTCAATGAATATCTCATAAGTGTCTCAAGTAATTCAACATAGTTTGTGGCAGCTACAAAAATGAAGTTTCTGTAGTATAACAACTACATTCTAAGTAAGTACGACACAATTAAACAGGAAATAATACTTTCAAACCAGGAACAGAAAAAAAATCCAATTTTGTTACATAGTGTAGTCTGTGCTTGCTGGGGTATTGGCCACCCAACTAAGGTATCCCTGCCATTGCCCAGTGGACCTGCAACCTGGTGTTGGGGTCCCTCCTGGTAGGGCAAATTGATGCTTCCTCCAAACTCAAGCTATCAGCTTTATGGGACCAGGAGGCAAAGGGCCCACCCATAATTATAAGATATACGATGTTTAAAAACTAAAAAGGTCAAATTATTGAAATACTAAATTTTAATACTGTAATAATATTGGAAATTCTATTCTATTTTCAAGCTACCAAGAGGTCATTAACATGTTAAAAGTGTTGTCTAATGCCCTGCTTCTTGAACTGTGAGTCCTGACCCAAATCGAATCCCCTTAGCTCAATGCTGGGGTCCCCACTTTTTTTTTCTGAACTTCACCAGTGCCAAATTTGGTCCAGTGAATGAAAATGATGTAAATATTAGATATTTACATTACAATTAATAATAACAGTGGCAAAATTACAGTTATAAAGTAGCAACAAAAATAATTTTATGGTTTGGGGTCACCACAACATGAGGAACTGTATTAAGGGACCACAGCATTAGGAAGCTTGAGAACCACTGGCCTAGATCCTGATTTCTTCTACTCAAATGTTCCTGTTTTAATCTCTTTGATGTTTCTGTAAAAAAAGCATTTTACTTTAAAAAAACAAAAACAAAGATTTTAAAGTTAGCCTACCCTAAAGGTTTAGGCTGCTCCCTGCTGGAGAACTCCAACTGCACCATTTTTAAAACATTATTCAACTTTTTCACATTTTCCTCCTTTTTTCTGATATGAAAAAAGACAGACATGAAAGGCCTACAAATGGACTCTATAAATCCATCAAATTCTCAATGAGGCAGCACAATTGCTTAATAAAAGCCTTGTCTGAAAGCATCCTTAGAGCATAATTCAGCAACTTCAAAATAAAACAAATTCTAAAAATAGTGTTAATGAAACCAGATCTAGGGCTCTTCCTTAAACCCTCAGCCCGAGGGTTTAGGAAGAGAAGGAAAGCTCTGGATCCAACCAGAGATACAATTTGTTCAATGTTCTGGTCTTATAACAGTTAAATAGTTGTGAAATAGGATAGGAGTGCCATAGCACACGACCCAAGATATGTCCAGAGGATTATCAAGAGATCCCATATCATTGTATCTTAGAGCTGAAAGCAGCCACCAAGGGTCAGCTAGTTCAACCTCCTGACATCAGCACTTTTAATCCTGTACCCCACTCTGGCCGGCTCAGTTTTAATAATGTCTTGTTGTAATCCTATTGTTATTGTTCTTGCTTAACTGTTTTATTTGCTAGGTACTGTATTGTTGTATTGTTGTATTGTGTGGGCTTCGGCCTGGTGTAAGCCGCATCGAATCCCCTTGGGAGATGCTAGCGGGGTACAAATAAAGTTATAATAATAATAATAATAATAATAATAATAATAATAATAATACAGAAATGCGCAGCTAAACCACTCTGAAGGGAGTGCCTCAAACCTCTATGCCAAAGAAGAAGATGCCATCCTTAAGGCAATCTTTTCCAATGTCAAACAGTTATTAAAGTGTTCCTCCTGAGGCTTAGATCTCTTTTGATGCATGTTTTCATCTGTGGAGCAGCAGGAAACATGCCTGTATCTTTTGCATTTTTGCTATTATGTCACATTTCAATCTTCTCTTCTTCAAGAAGGTCCCCTAAGTTGTTCCTCATAAGAGGAACATAAGAGGTGATTGTTTGTAAAGCCATTGTCCTACCAACCCTGTTATATGCCTGCAAAACGTGGACTGTCTACAGACATCACACTCAACTCCTGGAACTATTCCATCAGCAATGTCTCCGAAAAATCCTGCAAATCTCTTGGGAAGAGAGGTAGAGAAATGTCAGCATTCTGGAAGAAGCAAAGACCACCAGCATTGAAGCGATGCTTCTACACCATCAACTCCACTGGACTGGCCATGTCTGAATGCTCCATCACCATCTCTCAAAGCAGTTACAATCCTCCCAACTCAAGAACATAAAACAGAATGTTGGTGGACAGGTAAAGAGATTTAAAGATGGGCTTAAAGCTAATC